TGATAGCATTATTATTTACAGGTCTGACTCGATGCTAGTTCCAGGTAATGTTACTGACATTTAAACAAGCCACACTACTACATGACTTGTCCAAAAAAGAGAATGTAAAACAGGGGGAATGTGTGAAACAGACAAAATGAGAAAAAAGGAAATTGGCACTTAACTGCATTTTGTACATTATTTGGCTTTCAAATGATAGCAGCACATTTATACTATATGCACTGAAGTGTCATATTTTCACGTAGGAATTTTCATTCATGCCGACCAATCGCTCTTGACTATTTTATGGTAAATGGATCCAGCACCTGCCACATTTGTGCCGGGTGCTGCGGGACTCTGCAGGATCTCAGTTCTGTTGCAGTCCTCCAATATAAAACCCAACAGCTTTAACAAACTAATCATGGACTGCTTTTGACAGTATGTGTGCAAGGCACTTCTCACTCAGTGTGGCACATGGACATGGATGGTTGCATATTGTAACAAATGTGCTGTTTTCTTTGTATTATAACTAATGTACTCTGTCAACATTTGTGCTGTTATATGAAAATCGTGTAACTATACATAGGCTATAGGCTTAAAAATATAACAAAAATCAAGCTTGACTGCCTCCATATGTTTGTCATATATCATTGGCAAAAGACAGAGACTGAAGGCTGTAGGTAGGCAGGCGAACAGAGGCAGACAAAATGTGTTTAGCATTACTGGTAGATACTGAGCTATCACTCAATCATCTGTCACTTCTTCTCTGACCTTCTCACCATTGTTCATCTTGTATCTTTGTTTGTGTCTGTCCTTCCCGGCCTCATACCCTGACTCCTCTCTCTCTCTTTCTCTCTCCTCTCTTTCTCAGCATGTGCTGAGCTTTGAAGTCACAGCTTTGACGAGTCAAAAGATGTATAATTCAGTAGCGCTGTCGCACAGCCACACACACACACGCGCGCGCCGACAGACACCCACACACAAACACAGATGCGGTATGCACGTGCTTGTGTGTTCAGCTACATCTGTGTTGCTCAGTATCTGTTGTTGGCCACTCCGTGAATGGGATGAGTTGAGAGTATCACATTTCAGGCTGGATAGCATGCTAGTGTGTTTCTGAATTTTCATGTGTGCTTATGCGTGTGTGTCCGTGAACGTGTGTACTGTATGTGTGCCACTTTGTCTTGCATGTAGTGCTGAAGATCTCTGGCAGTGGGGTTCATTCCTTCTCCAATGATCAGTCTGGCATGTCTGTTTAGAGCACTCATGTGTCACAACTACACATCTCACCAAAGGAAGGAGGAAAGCAAGAGAGACTGAGAGAGAGAGAGAGAGAGAGACATGGAGACAGTGATACAGCTCTGTCCATCAGTGTCACTCCTCATCCTCGTCTTCGCTGACAACAGTGACATCACCAGTCCTGTCACCAGAGTTCACCATCACTCCCCCTCGCAGACACTGGTGCTCCTCTCTGCTTCATTCCTCTTCCCTCGTTTCATCAATTCTCTCTGTTTCCTCGTTTCTGGTCATCTGTTTCTTTCTTTTAGTGTTTTAGTGTTGAAGTGTTGACATCCATTTCTCTCACACCACCTCAATTTCACTTCCTCTCCTTCAGCCACTAAATACTGTATCTCCATACATTTTTTTAATCCACAATCGCTCAATTTTGACATTCTGTCTATCTGCAAACTTGTCTATGTGTGTTCATGTAACTGTGTACACAGATAGATGAGCAGGTATATACTTGCTTGCCACTTTATTAGGTACACCTGTACAATTGTATGTAATTCAGTTCCAACTTAACATCTGCGTTTATGAAGCTCAAAATGTTTGTTTTTGGTGAAATTGTGATTAATGTATAAATTCAATAATATATTTATTATCGAGGTTAAAGGCAGTGTTGAACTGGGCCACATTATAGTCAGAGGTGTCTCTATATTTTTGTCCTCCCTGGTTACATACATGAGAGGGTCAGAATATTAGGAACACCTGAATTGTATATAATTGTACAGGTGTACCTAATAAAGTGGCCAGTGAGTTTTCTTTATGTGTTTGCATGTATGTTTGTGTGTGTTCACACAGGTACACATGCAGAGCGACAGTAAGCTTGAGGACAGAAAGACAGAATGAAACAGACGCACATGAGCTGCTGGAGAAACAAAATACTGACTGCTGTAGTTGGAGAAAAAGAATAAGAAAATAAAAATGAGAAAAAGCAAAAAATTGTACATATGAGAAAGCAAAACAGACAGAGATAGAGGTAGAGATTCACAGTTGAAGGGTAAGGATAGGATGTGGGTCAGGGTAGGGGTTGGGGTCAGGCTATGAGAAGCCTCTGTATGACTGATATTGAAAAGTAGACAGGCACCTCTTACGTTTATGCGCGCTTGGTACTCGGCACTACCAGCCGAGTTTCGTGCGGCGCACCGATACACTCCTCCATCACGAATCTGCGGGCTGCTGACGTTGACGTGGCTCACAGTGCTGCCATCAGAGAGCGTGTACTGGCTGGCTCTGACACGGGACAGGTCCCGGGCCACAGGCTCGTCGTCCAGGGTCCAGGTGATGGTGGGAGGAGGTGCACCTTTGGCAGCACACATCAGGGAAAACGGTTCACCTGGGACCACCACCCTCTCACTGAATGAGGCGATGATACGGGGTGTACCATCTGAGAAACAATCGTATAAGGAATAAGAGATGTGGTGAATAAAGACAAATGCAGCCTGGCAACAGACACAGTGCTGCACATATGAAATAAAAACATAATTTGTTCTCCAACATTATTTGTGTATGTAATGTAAAGCATGTCTAATTGTTGCCTCATTAAGATGAAAAAGAAACCGACTCATTCTCAGACTTACCCAAACAGCAGTGTAATAACACCGGACAGTTCTCATTACATATACATGCATGATGTGCACACCCTTTCCATCCTCACCTTCCAGTAGTATGATGGAAAAGTCCTGGGCAGTCTGGCCCTTGCGTGTGGCGAAGCACTGGTAAGCTCCCGAATGTCGCTTTTGTGCAGCGGAAATGAACAATGTCTCATTGTGAGCGCCCTGTATGGAGAAGTGCTGATCGGGCAGGACGGGTTCTGTGTTACGGTACCAGGACACAGTGAAGTGGGGGGAACCCTGCACAGCACAGGAGAGGATGACTGTACTGCTGATTCCGGTTTTCAGGTTCTTGGGAGACAAGGTGACCCGCAGCGGCTCTAGAGACAGGAGGGGGACCGGGTAGAGCAGAGGTTAAAGGACTGAAAGAGAAAACAGTAAACTGAGGCAAATGCTTCTTAAAACACCTGTTACACCTTTCACAGGTTCTTAGCTAAACTGTGAGGATACTGTCTTTACTGTGCATGTGGGCAGTACTGTACATGGGTGCTATATGCATTGCTGAATGAAAAGCATTTTCCACTGAGCTATGCTAGGCTGGCTATGTGATTCAGATCATATTTTGGTGGGGTTGAGACTGTAAATTTGTGCTTTGTGTTAAGATTTATGCCACTACCTCTGTGTATGACAGTGTGTGCTCAGAGGAAAAATTGGAAAGGTGAGAAAATGTCAGTGAACAAAAAAAAACAAAAAAACCCAGCTGGTTTTAAGTGCTGGAGGCTGCTGAATATGTGTGTGAGTGTGTAAGTGTTTCTTCACGCGCAATGCATGTACTGTAAGTGTGTGTCTAAATGTGTATGTGTCCCACTGTCCGTGTCTTGTCATAGTAGGTTTGTGGGCTGTGCAGTGATGTGCCCTGTGGCCAGTCTGCTCAGTGTCCACTAACATCCCCCTTTTCCCAACCACCCTCAAATTCCATCTTCTCTCTTCACTTGCAACACCCCCACCTTATTCTTTCTGCAAGTGCACCTATCTGCTCTATCTGCATCACCTCCGCCCATCTCTTTAATTATGCCCACAACTTTATGAAATACTCTTTCCATCCCTCTCTCACATCCTCAGTAAACAGAGCAACAGGCCTGCATGACCACTGTTTTGCCCTGTTGCTGTAGAGACGCCTTGGTGAGATTTGAGAGCAGAGCAGCGGAACAAGCCGTCCGCAAAGATCAAGCTCATGCTCACAGCACAGACAGCAGTGGGTTGGGAGGGCATGTAGGCAACGCGGGGTCCAGGGCACAGCCAACAAAGCTTAAATGATGTCTCTACTGTACCTGTCCACGACCTGACAGCACATTCATACCTGTGTCCATCTTACTTTTTCGAGTCAGTATAGAACAGTGGGCGTCAGGAAAGGTAGATAAAATGACGCTGTGTTGATCACGGGACATGAATGTTGTTATTTTATTACTCTATTGCATTTTTATCAGTTCTTTACCCACCTATGACATTGAGGTGACCCGTCACCTCTTTGGAGCCAAAGCTGTTAGTGACCTCACAGATGTAGTTGCCGCTGTCCTCGAGTCTCAAGTCTGAAATGGTGAGGCCGGTGATGCGCCGCGTCCAGCGGGAGTCTGCAGGTAATGGCCGACCATCCTTTAGCCATCGTATGGTGGGGTTTGGGTATCCAGATGCGATGCAGGGGAGCTCCACACTATGCCCCACCTGCACCTCACCGGACTGGAAACTGTCCTGCACTGATGGGGTGGACTCCGTAGGGTCTAGAGGTGAAACACATCACAGAAATCACATACAGCTCTGGAAACATCGTCCTTTACCTTATTTATAGATCCTTAGAGGACTAGTTTGACATTTAGATATACTGTATACACTTAATCACATCCTTGCTTCTTAGTGTTTCCAGCTGCCTTGGAAACATGTGGAACAGTTAGTCAGGCTCTGTCCAGCAATAACAAAACCCTCCTGCTATCACCTCTAACCACTATGCAGCAGCGATGTTCTTGGCCAGGAGTAAGTAAGGAGTGCAGCAAAGTTAGCTAAAGAAAGTACTGTGTGTGTGTCTCATTTTTACACACAATACGCAATTAGATTTTTAATAATGTACGGTTTATTATTTTATTGAACTAGGGATGTAAATTACTTTTTACATTTTTATATTACATGTCTCGGCATACTCTCGGCAACATCCTAACACTGTCTTCTAAGTTTATTTCAGAAAATGAGTGTGCAACAGTCAGGTCATTGCTTATATACTGTCCTGTGATTTCCGTTTGGCACAAGTTGAAGAGGTACTTTTTTGCCTACCCATAACAGACAGCCTGGCTCCATTGCTCTGGCGAGTCTCTCCACTGTACTTGTGCTTTGTGATGCAGCGATAGGTGGACAGAGCATCTTCCTTCTGCACTTCTGAGATATACAGAGCACCAAATGAAGTCAGGAAGAAACGGTTACCTACAGAGGACAGCAGAGCAGGGAGCAGGGAGAAGAGGAGAGAAGGCCACATTAGTCAACATATTTGGCTAGCAAATGCACCATTTAATCAGATGTATCTTTTGCATGTTAGGCATTGCGTCTACACAGATTTATTTGCATTGGGTAGGGTTCTTGTCCACAATGCTTGGTTAAACGTTAAGGTCATCTAGTCAAACATTCAAGCCAATATTCACATTTGGAGGCCTGTGATTTGATGTGTAAAGATTGTTGCTGTTGTTTGTTTTTAATTCCATTTACTGTCTAGCAGGCTTTACCCACGTTGTTGCTTTTTCTGTGGCTAATAAAATAACATTTATTCCTTACGTGTCTAAAAAGGCTTCTGATTTTTTTTCACATTTCAAAGAAAAAGTACAAATGTTCTCTTATAACACGAATGAATTTGCAAGCGATGAAATGTACCCTCAGTTCAACAAATTTATGGCTTTTGTTGCTACAGTCTTACTTGGTGCAACTTCTGCTGAGTGAAAGAAAGGTCACCTGAGATAGTTTATGCACTGCGTGCAGATACCAGCCTCTCAATCACAAGACATACTACACCCTGAGCACATTTTCCAGGCAAGCCACTTACATATTTACTGTAGGAAGAAAAAACTGAGGCACTACAATATACTGTCTTCAAAAATACTACAGCAGTTTGGTGAAGACATGGGAGCTTTTAACACACACTGATCCCTCTACTGATATATACACACCAGAAAACGATGGATGAGGAGAAAGAGGCAGAAGAGATTATTGTGGGTGTTAATAATAGATATGTCTCTGTGTATGTTATGGTAACAGCAGATTAGCTTCATTTTCATTTCGCATCAGTGACTGCTTGGTGTGCCTCTGATTTATCTACAGAGTATGTGCACATGTGCATACTGAATGTGAAAGAAGAGAAAGATGGAGGAAAAAAGAAACAAGGAGAGTGCATTTCAGTGTTTGATTTTTTCCGCTTCCAAGAGTCTTTTTGTACTCTGTTCCCCCAAAGGGTATTTTAGACCGTGTGCACTTCAGACTCGGTAGCAGATTGCAGATTGTTTGGTTATGTGACTACTATTGCAATGTGAACATGCTGGCTGTTGTTTGCTGTGCATGATGTTTCTATGTCATTTTCCAGTGTTGAGGGAAGAGTTTGAGTAGGGGCACTGAATAGTTGAATACTGGAACTATGTGTCTCACACACACACACACACACAGACCGCTTCAAGCAATAGGTCAACACCTAGTCACAGCACAGCAAATTTATTCTGGATCTGTTGATGAAACCAGGCTGCTGTATTGTGAAAACTTTAGTGCATAAGCTAGAATTTTTGCTCTTACATAAATGATTATTTTGAAGCCAAACTGGAAGTTAACAATCTGCTTTTTGTTATACGAGTGTGTTCATCTGTGCATAGTTCTGCATGCAGGCATATCAAAATGTCAGTACATCATTTTCTGTGTGTGTGAGCATCAGTGAGCATGTGTAAAATGAAATGTGTCGGTAAGTATTAATAACTAAGCCGGGTATGTGTCTGTGAGTGTGTCTCCTGCCACAATGTGAGCAACGACAATCGATGCATTTTATGGCTGCACAGCTCCATCCAAAGGAGATTTATTAAAACAGAGAGGACAAGCCTGGCTCCTTGCCACACACACACACACACACACACACACACACACACACTCCATCACTAACAAGACTGTGAAGTGAAGAAGACTGAAGGACTTACATCTTGTGTCTATGCAAACAGGTTTTCACTGAATAAACATGTGCATTACTGCACATAAAGACTGTTCATTACTATTCATTATTCATTTTCTTCATTATTTGGTATTTGTTGATTATTTTATAGATTAATCAAAGTGTCTCAAACATTTTAGCATGTGAAAAATCACCATTAGAATTTAAGACATCTCGAAGTTGTACTTTAAAGTCAAGAAAGAGAGAAACAAATTTTTATATTGGAGAAGTTAAACCGGCAAATGTCTGCATCTGTTTGCAATATTGCTCTGTTTGAGGTGAAGAAGTTTCCATGCATCAACCAACTTAAAGGCTCAAACTGCTGCCTCAATAGTCAAGGATCCGAAAAGGTGAGATCTGAAGGAACCAGTAATGGTAAAGTGTTTAATACAGAACATGTACTCATAGTCTTTTATTATGATCAGATACTGTATGATTTATACACAGAGACATCAGTTGCTGCACCTTATTAAAAACTCTTGCAATTACCATGTGTTTCATCGCTCCATTTGTCTTGAATAAGTGCTCATGAAAATACCTGGCGTTTCAGTCAGATGTTTGTGTATGACTCATATTTTCAGAGAGAACATCTACATTTTACTTGAATCTGCAGTATGTATAAAAGGCATAACAATACCTGTGTGTGTGTGTGTCTGAGCATGTGGATTTCTGAATATACAGTATAGTCACACAGAGTGTCAGCCAGTGCATCTGCATGCATATGTGAAAGTTCACACACACGTGTTTTCGTCTAAGTCAGACTGTTGTGCTGAGTGCTAAGCGACGTAAGCTGTAATTTCCAAGCCTGCCCTTTTGTTCCAACCTGGGTATTAAGCCTTACAGGATAATATGCACTTGGTGAGTACAACCCTGTATAACACACTGCTACATCCTGTCACAACATGCCTGGAGAGAGAAAGACAGACCAGAGGGGGGTGATAGGGGGAGAGGGCGGGGGGTAGACTAAGCAATTGAGAGATAGTTAAGAATGGAGGGAAGGAAAGTGGAGCAGAGGACAATAATTAGAAGGTGTGTGTCAACGCTGGTTGTAAAAGAAACTTATTCTATCACTGCTCACTGTGTTCCATTTCCTCTCACTGTCATTTGCTCTTCAGATTGCATTTAACAGTTAGTTCCTGCAGATGATTTTTCCCCTGTATCACTGATTACTGCAGTGTCAGAAGATAGTGCAATATGTCTGTCACAGTTTCCTGGGGTCAAAGGTGACAGCAAGCATGAAGGGATGTGTAGAAAGGCAACTGAAAAAGTGTTTATTCAAATGAAAATAAGGACAATAAAAGTGCTGGGCTCCATGAAAACTAAGTTTTTTTTTTCAGTCTACACTATCGATTAGGGGCATAGCTGTAGAAATCACGGATCAGTACGTACCTCAGTTTTGAAGTCACTGTTTGGTTCATTTTTGATATTCAGGTTTCGTGTGTTGTTAGAAACATACCCGATCGCCACTGAATGAACACATTAAGTGGAGGACCAGAACGCAATAAACACATAAGACGTCATATCCTCTCTTTGTTGTTGTATTTCACCAAAAAGCTGAAGCGTTCCCAAACTGGAGACCTTAATGATAAGGGTCTTCTAGCTCTTGGCCATGAGGTTCACTAGCCACTGTGCTTTGGTCCTTCACTTAATATTGTATGTTCATGTGGGAATGTGAATTTGAAAAAATGTTCAGCACGAAAACAAGCCACTGTTAACTACTATTACCGACTGCATTCAGTACACATCTGCACTGAACATAAAGTCTTGCACCGAAATGATTCGGTATGAATATGTGTACCTTTACACCCTTACTAATGATACACAGTAACGCAGTAGTAAGGCATGTATCCACACAAGTATGCATTACTTTGTGTTAAATCCTTTAGACAACCAACAAAAAAAATGAACATACAAACCAAAACACCCTTAAATTGTAAAAACGTGTGCAAGAACATGTATGGTACTACAAAGGTACTGCATAAATTCAAAATGGTGGTATGTCTAAGAAGCCTACCATAAAAATAACCATATGTGTCATGTTCACATATGTCTTCTGGTGCCAAAGCCTTCAGCATGGTTCAAATGGTGAAATTACTGATTATCAAACTTGTAGCCGATGGAATTTCTGATGGATGACTAATGAGTGAATAATGTCAACACTAGAGTACCTCACTAGAGTGGCACTGAAGTGAAATATTCCTTAATAAAAGCACTCTGTTGTCTCTTTCTTTGACTGCTCTGACTTTAGCCTTTTACCACTCTTCCCTTCCTCTCTCCTCTTTTTTCATTGCTGCTCTTTCTACCCAATATTTAATTTCTAGTCACTGCCTGCTCCCCTGCTGTCTGTGGAGATGTGACACACCTAAAACAGCAAAGAGGGTGCAGTTCGACAATGGAGGGAGGCAGTGGAAGAGAGGAAGAGGCTTGGGAGGTAGGAGGACGGCAGATGGAGATTGATGGAGGGAGAGATAGGGAGATAAAGAGAAACATGCCGTTGGGAGTGACAGAGGAGGGAGAGAGAGTGAGAGGGATGAGGGGCCTGCAGGCCTGAGAGCCACACATGGGTAAAAACAATTATTCGACGTCTTTCTATATCTCCTTTTCTCCCCCTTGCAAGCCTCTCTTTGTGGGAGGGGAGATTAATTCTCGTCTAGTCTACCTACGCCTCCAGGAGTTTGTTGTTGTTGATGATAAGTGTGTCTATGTATGTGTTTCTGTCTGCTTTTTCGTTTATCCTTTTCTGCTGTGGAAGGCAGGATGAGAATTTCTGAGGTGTATCCCACACCCTAGGGAAGCACAAAAAATCCCCTCACTTTCTCTTTTTTCCTAACCCTTTCCTTCCCTTCTTTTGCTCCATTTGTCTGTGTGAGACCATTCTCTGCCTTCAGTCTCCCCTCTGCCCTCTCTATCTCTGCCTTCTTTCCTCCAAGCCTATGCTCTTCTTCCCTCTCTTTCAGGGGGGTCTGTAAGTAATGGAATCAGTTCAGCTGATCAGCCGGAGGCAGAAAGTCAAGCCAAGTGCAGACTGAGAAGTGCAGACTGAACCTGCTGCTGGCTCTGTATGTGTGTGTGCGCACGTATGCCAAAAAAATCGCATAGACAGACACATGCATGCAAATAATGAGACAGAGAGACAGGAAAGGGGAGAGAGAGACACAATGAAAAAAGGATTAGGGAACCCTGGAGCATCGCTTGTCTTCTCCAAAGTTCCCCCAGAGAGAGGACACCCCTCTTCTTTGAGATGGGTGGG